CGGCCGGTGACCGGCTCGCCCAGGAAGCCAAGCCAGCCCGCCGGAGCTCAGCGCCGCGGTGCGCTCGGCCCCCACGCCCAGTTATCATCGTCTCCGGCCGGTGACGGTCCCGGCTCGCCCAGGAAGCCAGTGGCTGGGGTAGACGGAGAAATGCGAAGGGCCAGACCCTGCCCCCCCGAGACACCCCAGCACCGGTCCAGCCCAGAGGCCGAGCGCGGGATGGAGGTGCCGGGGCTCGGGGGTGCCAGCGTCCCCTGTCCCCCCGTCCCTCGCCTTCGGGGATGCCGGCGGCACAAGGGGAGAGTGGCCTCCGGCCATCTTCCCTCGGGCCCTCAAATTTCAGCACCCGGTGCCGACCACAACGCTTCCTGCTTGCAACACCGTCCCTCGCCGCTCGCACAGGATTAAAAGTGCAAACTTCTCCCCTGACAGCGCAGGCGGCTGGGGTGGGCAAAGCTGCGGGCACGTCCCGGCCCACGCCGCCCCTGGGGCTCGCTGTCCGGCACGCCTGAGCCCCAAAATGGTTGGCACCGGTCACTGCTTGCTCTGGGAGCGGGGTACAGGAGGGATTTCTGTCCCATCTCTGCTCACAGGTTCTTGCAGAGGCGGAGGAGGGACACAGGGAAGGGTCACCCTGGCCACAGCCGAATGCCACGAGCCCGGGCAGCGTCTGGGAGGGAGATGTTCGGGGCAGACTGCGAGGGCAGCCGCTCACTGCATTCGCTGTCTTGCAAATGTGAGGAAATGAGACAGGATCAGGCGAGATGGGGCCCCAAGGACACAGCGGGGGTTTGCACAGGGCTGATGCATCAGTGCTGGGGATGCACCGTGGGTTTGCACGGGGCTCAGCTCCAGGGTTTGCTGCTCCTCCAAGCTCGGTGCTGTGTCGTAAAGCCCAAAGCCGCTGCAAAGCCTGAAGCCATCAGCAACCTCAAAGCAGGCTGATGCTGAGGATGGAGAAGAGCAGACGGGCTCTTCAAAATCTGCGTTATCCAGAGAATAAGGAGCTGGGGATCCTTGGAGAGGATGGGAGATGCAGCCGCAGGCAAGCGGCTGGTTACGTCCTTGGCTTTGGGCAGCGCTGGGAGGCCAGGGCCGGACTCTGCACCCACTGCTCCAAGGCAGAGCTGCCCGGGAGGGCTCCCACGGACGAGAGCCATCCACCTCAGGGCAGGGCACTGCAGCTGCGAGAAAGCAGCCGTGACGCTGGGCAGGGAAACCCAGCTCTCCTCCTGCCCTGACCTGCCCGAAACACCAGCAAAATCCTCCTGCCTGCACAGCGCTGCCCGGCCTCACTGCCCTGCCTGGGCGCAGCCGGGTGCCCGGGGAGGGCGGGTCGGGGAGGCAGCAGCTGGGCAGCTCGGCCGAGCACCGTACTGTGCCACCGGCGCTGCCTGCAGCTTCCCCCACGCAGCCTGGCCGGGATGTCCAGCCCCAGGAGAGCCGTTAGTGCAGCGCCGGGGGGGGGGTTTCCCGGTGCCGCTTTCTGCTCTGCATATTTTAAAAGATTTGGCCGACAGGCAGGAGTCACGGTGCACCGAGGCAAGGCGAAGCTCGGGCTCACGAGCTCGCTATGCTCCGTGCAGAGGAGAGCAACGCACCACGGCACCACCGATGCCCATCTGGTCCAAAACACCGATTACACCCCTTCTAATCACGGCACCCATTCGTCTTTTGAACCCCAACGCAAGCACACAAGCAGCCCAGAGGCTCGGCTCGGTGGGCAGGGCCAGCTCCATCCCAGCCGCCCATCCGCACCCACTGCCCGTGGTGCCGCGCCGGGATCTGCACCGAAGGGCTGCCGAGCACCCAGGGGTGAGGGCTGCCGCAGGAGCCCGTCTCCCTTGAACCCAGGAGCCCGCTTGGGCAACAGCCGTGTCCAAGTGCTCGGTGCTGCATGAAGCATGGAGGACCAGCAACACGTGGGTGACCCTCGCATCTCCCCTCCTTACAGGACCCCCGAATACCGGACGACGAGGCGGGCAGGTGATGCTTGCCGGCCCCGTGGGAGCCTCGGGCCGGGCCGGGCAGTGGGACGTACCATGAGCAACTGCAGCAGCAGCACCAGCAGAAGCAGCAGGCGTTGGGGCGGTGGTTGCTGGCGGGTTGCACCGTTGTCGGAGAAGTCTCATGCCGGGACATCGGAAGGGGTGTCTCTGCGGACGCGGGTCCTGCGTACTGAAAGGCAGGAGGGCAGGGAGCGGGTGAGCGAGCTGCCGACAATTATCCCCCACCATGTGCAAGCACCCGGAGGTAAACGAGGGACCCCCCGTGCAGTGACTTGCTGGGATTTAGTTTTGGCTCCCGCTTGCCGTCCCGGCCACCAGCCAGCCCCAAGATGGTCACCACCTCACCTGCGTCCCAGCCTCATACACGGTGGACGGGGTTGGGTCGTGCTTCGGGGGCTCTTCTGCTGCTCTCCGCTCCTCCCAGCCCGTGGGTGAGCCGTGCCGCCGAGACCCCCTGGCTAATGTCCCTGCCGCCTCCTGGATGGAGCCTGCGGGGAGGGAGAGGAGCGGCACCGTGTTACCTTCGCAGAGGGACCCCCCCCGGCTGCTCCGCACCCCCCAGCGAGGGGGGCCCACGCCGGGGAAAGCCTTTTGCAGGCAGTGGGCTGGGGCACGGCAGGCAAACAGAAAGGGTGCAAGAAAAGGAAGTGAGAAGGAAAGGAGGAGGGGAAACACGGCGGCAGATGCTCTGCCAGCCCCACGCTTCGCCTGGGACCCCCTCCCATGCTTTGTCGGTGCTGCTGAGCACTGACAGGGTGCGGGGCTCAGTGCCAACCTCGCACGCCCCTGGCCGTGCCCCGTGCCGTGGGGAAGCGCGGCCGGACCCCCCCGGCGTGTTTGGGCCTGGGATGGGGAAGTCGAAGCTGCTCCACGGCATCATGTGAGTGGAAGGAAACGGGGTGGGTGGGGGGAGAGTTTTCACAGCTCCCGGCACTAAACCAAAACTCGCTCTGTGCCAAGTGTTGGCCGAGTCCAGCGCTCTGCACCGCTGCTACAGAACGGTCCCCCCGCGCCCGCAGGCCTGCCTGTCCCTGCCTGCCTGTCCCTGCCTGCCTGTCCCTGCCTGCCTGCCTGCTCCACTGGCCCAGCCCGGAGCAGGGATGCTCCTGGGCAGGAGCGGTGCCGGGGCTCAGTGCCCACCTCCATGCGGGGTGGTGGTAAGGATGTGGTCACGGCCAGCTCTGCTTCCCTGCGCTCTGCCAAGGGCGGCGGGCAGCAATCACGGTCCTTCCTCTGCCAGAAGGAAGGAACAGGAGCAGGAGGCAGCGGGCAGGGAGAGCCCCCGGCCGCCTCAGCCCCAGCATCCCTGTCTTGAGCTGCCCCAGGTCTCATAACCTCGGGTCTGAGTCCTGCCGCGGACTCAGCAAGGCGGATGGAGCCGGGGTGCGGGTCCCAGCTGGGGACAGGGCTGTCCCCAGAGCCCCCCCCAAGCCCACGGTCGCCCCTGTGGGTGCAGCCCCCCCATCCCTGGCACGGCCATCGCCCGGCAGCGCTTTCCATGAGCTCCTCGCCTGGGCCCTTGCAAACCCTCCCGCTGGCTCCTATCGCTCCCGCAGGAACGAAAAAGGAGAAAGTCTGCGTTTCGCTCCCAATTGTCCCTATTTATAGCCCCGAGTGCTGGCAGGACGGCTGTGACCTTGTCACTGGGCTCAGCAGCAGGCTCCGCTCCCTCTCGCACCGCGCTGCCCTCAGGTCCATTTAACCCCCCTCTTTTTTCCCTTTCGTTTGCTTCCCCCAGACCGACCCTCTTCCC